CACTTGTTTTTTAAAAAAGAGGTGTAAACTAAAAATTAAAAACTTAAATCGATGTAATTTTTCGAGAAATGGGTCTGGCCCCAAATTTGAAGTATTTTTATCGATAAAATTGTCCCTAGATTTTGCCCTTAAAGTTTGATCACTACAAGCCCGGACACACTGTATATGTACATGTGTATGTGTTATTGTGAATTAAAATTACCTGTATCTAAGTCTTTTTTTGTGAGAGCTTTGATAATTGCCTCTACAAATAGTAACTTTGACATTTTATTCCCATCATTAATTAAATTATAGACAATCCAGGCATTAACAAGAGCTGTACCAAATAACAACTCCATTATTACTTTCCTCCACCACTTCAATCCTTTTTTTAATGTTGTGTAGTAGGAGGACATTTGGTCGCTGAAATCTATTCCTTTTTTAGTATTATTGTACGTGAGCACACATCCTGGTTTCTTAACAGTTTCATTAGAGCCTCGTTTCTTTTTTCCTGTATCTATTAGCTTATCATCATGATTTTTGCAGGTAGTTAGCATTAACACTTGTCTTTTATCAACCCATTTCAGTACTTTAACTCCGTTTTTATTCATTTTTCCTTTTATCTCGCCCTTCTTTATCTTTGATAAAATAACTGTCTTTGGCAAATGCTTCCTTCTTATGTTTAAAGTTCCACATATGAAAGTCTTCTGTGCCAAGAGTTTTTCTGCTAGATTCAACGAAGTATAGTAATTATCTACTATTACGATTCTCCCTTCACCTGTTAGATTTTTCATCAAACGCAGCACTACATTTTGACTGTGATCGACTTCTTTTTTCTGGTCTTTTTTACCTGTATAAATTTCTATTTGGTAAGTATAACCTTCGGGAGTGCAAAGCTTATAAAGTTTTACGCCATACCGATGAGACTTATTTTTTATATATTGGCGGAAACCTAATCGTCCTCTCCAGGGTATCATTGTTTCATCAATGACTACATATTTACCTGGTTTTAATATTTGCTGAAAATTTTCAGTGATCTTTGAAAACATATATCTGATTTTATGTAGTTTGTCAGTTTTATCATCATTCGAGATATCACTGACATGCCAGAATTTTAGGAGTGCTAAAAATCGGTCTCTAGTCATTGCCGAACTAATAAATTCATTTCTGTAGAATTTGTTCTTGCTCCAATACAAGTTGATTTGAGGAACCTTATTCAATCCCATTGCCATTAAAACTGCCATAAATGTTTTCATTTCCTGAAAACTAGTATCACTCCACTGTTTCATGCGTGATTTACGTTTTATATTACTTTGATTTGTTTGTAAGTAATTTCGTGCGTAATTATTTGTCTGAGATACCATTTCGTAAATCATGTCGTCTGTTACAAATAACTTATATATATCCTCAGGAAATTTTGCAAACGGGGGTATATTCAAGGTATTCTGTTCCACAAATTCGTCAAAACTCACGGGACTTTCAGAAATATCCTCCCACTCATCTTCATCCTGTTTATTGGTTTGGCAGCCACTCGGTGTTTCACCTATGTCTAAAGTTTGATTTTCTACATCCAGATTCATATTTTTAGAAGCTAATTCTAGTTCTATTCCTGCATAATCTTTTAATGAAATATCGCTTTCTGAATCAGTTGTTTCAACATTAGAAGGATCGTAATCTTTATCAGAATTACTATCATATAAACTTTCAATACTATCAAAATCAGTTGAACCAGTTGAATTAGAAATACTTGGCGCTGTATTAGAAAATGATCTATTATCTTCTATGACCTTCTTATAACTATTAATACCATCTTTGTCAATAGAATCCAACGATGTTACACTCGGTATTTTTTTAGAACTCGTTCTGTTTTTGTTTTCGTCGCAACAAATTCTTTCAATCTTGTCTTCGTCAATAATATGACATGATTTGTAGATGACTGGCTGTTTATTATATCTATTTTGTATCTGATTCTTTGTTTCGATATTTTCCGGAATGTTTTCAATAGTAACAGAAACTTCAAAATTTGAATTATTTCTCTCTGATTTGGCATTTGAATCTTCAGATTGCGCGTATTCTGATGTGTAATTTTGATTTTCTCTTTTTTGTTGAGGTGTGCGTAGAAGTTCATTTATTTTATCTTCATTAAGCGATATGTCACAGTCCAGTAAATTAGAACGTGATATTTCTGATAGAGAACTGGCTCTGCTCTCTTGTTCTAAATGTGGAAAGTCCAATGATGGTGAACATGGAATTGAGGAACTTTTATTTTTTTTAAATAGTTGACTTGAACAAGGAGGGGAAAATGTAACATTCTGTAACATATGATGTGTTTTGCTGGTACTGGGACTGACATAAATCATTTCTTTCGATTGCTTGTGTTCACTAGGAGACACTAAATTATTAATCTTCTTTGATATAACACCTGTACTCTTTTTTGTAATGATTATAGAGTTTGCATGTTTATTTATGATACGTTTTTGTTTCTCAATAGGGGTTTGATTTTTTGTTGAATAATTATCATTGATATAATTTTCAGTGCTATCAACGGTCGATATTTTTATAGCATCAGCTTTCTTAATACGTTTTATTGGAAATATTTCTTCATCACTAGACACTTCTACATCTTGTAAAGTAGATTTTATATCATTTAGTGGTTGATTCTGAAAGAAGAGTATTATTTTTAATCGCCTTGAAAGTTAAGTAGCAACTATAAATTCCAACTAGAACACAAATCTGGCATGCTAAATGCAAAGTAATGCATGCAGGTTAGTTATATGTACGTACATGTATAGGCTTATTACATCTTCCGACACCTTTTCATACGCAGGAGCGAAGCTAGAAGGCTAGCACGATCACATCTTTCCAACTTCATCGGATCCGACATATTCTAAGGCGGATCCCCCATTGCGACTGCACGAGCGTCAAGCGCGTCAAGAACTGCACCGACTGCAGAGACTGTTTCACTCGCACGTTGAGTGTATGCCTTTGAGAGAGCGGAACACGCCATGCAGTCGCTGTAGTTCTTGACGATTGTGCAGTCGTAATGTGGGATCCGTCTAAGTGCGATTATTTCTCTCGACCCGATAGCATTGGAGGATGTAATAACCGCTATAATCATGACGCGCAATTAATATAACCCATCTTTTGCCATAATGCATAATAATATATATTAAAGTTATTAACATTCTTAAAAATATCCCAATGCAGGTAGTATGAGTGATTCTTGCTTTTAAGCTATACACCGTGACTTTTTAGTCGTTTCGTTCCCGGAACGAGGTGATAGTGCTCATGAAATTGAAAAATTTTCGCGAGGAAAAAAAATACAAACAAACTGATCGATTGGTGCGCACCGATATCTATGAAAATTCGAAAAATGAAAATTTTCTTCGTGAAAGTTGTTCAGTTTCATGGGTGCTTGCTATCACCTCGTAACGGGAGCGAAACAAATAAAAAGTCACGGTATATACACCACAAAAAACGCCAGTGAACATTAATTTAGCAGCCAAATATTAAAAACACCACTCCAATTATAAAGTAAGTAACTCACTAATCCGATAACTGTAATTATTTCCTTTAGATTGCTAGAAAAACAATAATATTAAAATTAACAAATTAATAGGTATGTACCTATCTGAAAATGTTAGAACAGTAATTTTTAGGGTTCCGTTCCTAAAAGATAAACGGGTATCTATATTATTATACAGTGTTTGGCGGAAGGTTAGACAAGCTTCGTGGGTGTATAGGTAAGGTCATTTTAAGAATACTAGTTCACCCATTTGACCCTAAGTGAGCTACTTTTTTTTTAATTGACATTTTTGTTTTTATTTATTTTTTTTCCAAAATTTGACGTAATAACTGCTTCAATTTTATTTTTTCGCGTGATTTCAACCGCTTTTTTATTTGATATTATTAATATCGAATAAATTTTTAGTCAAATAAAATAAGTTTGAGATCCAGATAATGATTGGATAGCTAGTTAAGAGCCGTCAAAGTTTAACAAAAATACAAGCCACGGTAAAAACATCAACTTAGAATTCCATTAAAAAAAAAATTAAAGGTGATAATTGATTGCCAATGATCTTAAAAACATCTCTAGCTTCTCTTCTTTCCAATGATATATCACATGTAGTAATTAGATATTGAGATTTCTCATAAATTTCAAGTTTATGGAAGAAATGGGAATAATAATACAAAAATTATCCATACAAAGTAGATTTTGAATTATTTAAGACTTTTTTCTTCATAATGTGGTTATTATTTTTAATTTGAATTTGCAATAAAACACACAAAATAGCTATGAAAAGGAGTATATCAGAAAATTTAACGATGTTTGAAAAAACTTTGTATGGATAATTTTTGTATTATTATTCCATTTTCTTCCCTAAACTTTGAATTTTTAACGAATTTCAATATTTAAATACTACGTGTGATATATCATTGGAAAGTAGAGAAGCTAGAAATGCTTTTAAGATCATTGGCAATCCATTATCACCATTCATTTTTTTTAAATCGAATTCTAAGTTGAATTTTTATCGTGATTTGTACTTATGTTAAACTCGTAAATAGCTATTTAATTATTATCTGGATCAGAAATTTATTTTATTTGACTGAAAACATATTCGATATTAATATCAAATAAAAAAATCGGTTGAAAACACGCGAGTATAAAAATTTAAGCAGTTTTCAGGCCAAATTTCGGAAGCAAAAAAAAAGTAGCTCACTTAGGGTCAAATGGGTGAACTTGTATTCTTAAAATGACCCTGTCTATACAACCACGAAGTTCTAACCTTCCGCCAAACACCCTGTATATCTTATTTATTCAGTGATAGTTAGATAGTTGAAATTCTCACAGATGATGTATTTCTATTGCCGTATTGTCATAACAAAAAAGTACTAGAAACCGGCCATGTACGAGTTAGACTCGGTTCTCTTATGTAAAAATATTATTTTCCCGTTATTATAAATAATAGCAGAGAAATACAAATGAGTAAAGCCCGGTCCGTGAGCACGTAGAATTTTGTCCAATGACGCCTAGCTACACATCCTTATCTCTCGCGCGTAATTATATTGCTGTCGCGACTGTGCGACTGGCACCCGCAGTGAGTGTGCGAGCGCGACAGCAACATAATTACGCGCGAGCAATAAGGATGGGTAGCTTGGGGTCATTAGACAAAATTCTACGTGCTCACGGACCAGACTATAGGTCATTTTCATAGAAACGCACCGAGCGCGGTTTGTATGTGAGCGCGCTAATACGTATGCGGCGCGCACGCACACACTGACAAAATTCGTCGCAACACCCCGCTAATCCATGCTAAATTTTGTCAGTGTGTGNCGTGCGCGCCGCATACGCACGGCGCGCTCACATACAAACCGCGCTCGGTGCGTTTCTATTTGTATTTACTCTGATAATAGTATGCAACCTTACGTGCGCGAGTCCGACTCGCCTTTGGCCGTTTTTTTTGTTTGAGAGTAAAAACTTGTATTTGCAGTTGGTAAACCGTATCACGATTACGATTGGGGAAAACGGCAAAGTTGAGTTTGTCATTTTAAAACGTAATTAGGTAAATAAAATAAATAGTAATGACGACTCACCTCTCTTTGATAAATCAATCTATTTGATTTAATATTCACTACATCACTATTCTTATCCTTAGTAACATCGAAGCCTATTTTTTTTCGACACTTTTTTGGTTCTTTTGTCGACATATCGACGCGTGCGTTTCTTTCGAATGCGAGGCAACACTGGCTGCACGAAGCTAGCGTGGGGTGCGGTACCGGGTGCGCGGGGTACAAGGTGCTTCGACCTGGTTTCGCATTGTGAAGACATTTTATTACTTCCGTGCGGTACCAGGTCTAAAAACCTGGTATTAAGGTAGGTACATCATTGGATTCTATTTTAAGAATACATCTTAGATATATATTCATCACTTTCCTACACCGGACCCAATTGAAGTTATGCCTTTCGCACGACAAGGAAGACTATACTTTTCTTAGCCGCACGGTAAGCGAGACGTATACAAGGTCTATAGACCTGGTTTCGCACTCAACGTGTTAAATAATACTTTGATCATAGAATTATAATCATACTACACCGCACGCCAGCGTCCTGACGAGCGCGCGCGTGACACTCGACTGATATAATACCCGCCGGCGGGGCGCTTCGCTGTAGGTAATTATCGGATGTACCACGCGGAGTGAGCCAGGCCTGATTAAGGCACTCAGAATTCTCAGAAA